CTGTTTAAACAGGACACATGTAAAGTGTGTGCTGGACAGGGCACAATTATGTTCCAGCTCAGAAGAGGAACAGGTCAGATGTTCTCAGGAGTTCTTTCAGCAGCAATAGTACAGAAATTAACTCACAACCGTCCCATATCCAAAACTGTGATAACGTTTTTTGGGGAGAACCTTGGAAGACTAGTTATTATTTAACAGGTTGCAAGTGATGAAAGCATTCAATGAAGTCCTCAATATGGGATCCCATTAACCACCTCCAGCACTTGCAGCAGTAGCTATGCATATCTGAATAAGGCCCTGAGTTACTGAGCTTCATTCCTTGCTAAATTCCAGGTCTGAGATGGAACCACAGTTTATATGACCACAGCCTGCTTTTTAAGACTGTAGTGCAAAGCATATTTCACCTGTTTTTTATCACACTTGCACTGGTTTTACATTGTATACCTCTTCTGACTGCAACAAATTCATCTTACACAATTAGGAGAAAAGAGCCAGGCCCATACAGCATTGTCCTCACCTCCCTGATGCAAACATAGAGCAGATACTTTCATACAATGTCATTAGGCCATAACTGGTGCTAAGTTAACCTGTTGTTATTTAACCCCAGCCAGCCACCAAGTACAGTGCAGCCTCTCACTCACTCCCCCACCAGTAGGACTGGGAAGAGAACTCATGGGTCGAGATTAAAGACAGTTTAATAGGGAAAGCAAAATGCACACAAGCAAAGCAAAACAAGGAGTTAATTCACTGCTTCCCACAGGCAGAAGGTGTTCAGCACCTCCAGGAAAGCAGGTTCCCATCATGCACAACAGTTACTCAGGAAGGCAAACACCATCACTCCAAACGCTCCTTCTTTCCCCTTCTTCCCCCCACACTGTATACTGAGCATGATGGCACAAGGTATGGAATATCCCTGTGGCAGGTTGGGTCACTTGTCTCAGCTCTGTTCCTCCCAATCCTCCATGCACACCCAGCCTTCTCACCAGTGTGGCAGTACAGAAAGTGGTAAAGGCCTTGGCCATGTGTAAACTCTGCTCAGCAACAACAAAAACATCTCTGTATTATCAATGGTGTATTCAGCAGAAATCCAAACCATGGGCCCATCCCAGTCACTGTGAAGAAAATTAACCCTACCTCAGCCAAAACCAGCATATAGCCAAAAAATGCATTGTTCTAAACCTCACCTAAATTACCAGTGAGAAACTAAAGCAAATTAATCTGACCCAGTTTTAAGAACAGGTTCAACAGAGGAATCACCACTAACACAATTTTCTTTAAGAAACAGGAAGAAAATCTCATATAAAGAATAAGGAAAAACAATGGAGTTATAAGGTAGTAGACATTGTTTCTGGAATTTTTTCTTTTTCTATTGCAAATTAAATATTTTACATCTCTAGAAGCTACTTACTTGATGAAAACCACTATGAATGGATTATTTTTCAAAACTAAACTATCTCTTTTGCTTATATGCATGTACGTACAAATTTCTGTTCTTTAAGAAAGATTAAAATTACATTAGTCAAATTGAGTCCTACTTTTGCTGCCTGTTTTGCATTTGGCTGGTTTTGGAGATCACAGGTTTTCCTATATTCCCTATAAAGATGTAAACTATCTTTTTCACTGCATCATGCATAAAGATGCTTCATGCTAAATGTCTGAGGAAAAGAAACTCCCACAATCAAGTTTCAGTGCAGTTTTCCAGACCTATCACTTTTCAACCCTATTCCTGTAGCTACAACATCTGAATAAAAGAAATTAAAGGTAGCACCAGCAAACAATGCTGTTCACTTCAAAGCTTAAAAGAATTAAAATTGCACTCGTTCCTGAAATCAAAGAGGTGAATCCATAGGTAAATCCTTAGGCATCACTTCAGCTAGTTAACCTGACATGTCAATTAAATGAAAGAGTAATTTATTCAATTCTCAGTCTAGTCTGACACAAAACCTATACTTCCCTTGATTCCTAATTAGCCAAAGTACTTGTCTTCTTTCATGCAGATAATTTCATAACCATTAGTGTAAAGCATTAACACATTTTTCTTTCAATCATATTTTCCTCCTGTTGACTGACACACCTTTTCTAGCGACTGTACTTGTGCCAGTTTCAGCTTTGTGGGAACTTGCCTGAAGGTCTTTAGTAAAGTTCCCTCCCATATACATAAAACAATGATATATAATCATGATGTTAGCTATGTGAAGAGACATATGTCTTACCTTAGAAAATATGAATGGAAAATTATGCACTGGAGGAATTTAACCATTTCCATTTGTGTATATTTATGAAGCTTAATTGAATAGTACTTAACATATAGTAGAATACAGTGTGATTAACTCCTTGACAATGTGCTCAGATGGTACTTCTCCTTAAACAGTTTAAGGTTTTTTTGGATAGAGCAGACTTCTCACAAAATGCCTGAGAGTTCTGGGAAAATTAATCAAACCCAAGAAATTCCTTTTGTGTACACACAGAACTTATTATATACTAGATCTGACCGTGTGTGTGTGTGGTGCATGGCTGTATCCAGTAAACCATACTCAATATTTATTTCTTAGTTCTATTTTGACTTACCAATTAGGAATGTTTTTTGAGAGATGACTATGAGACTTTATACATAAAGCTGGTTGAAAATAGATGAGAATGTCTTGAAATATTCGTCCACATGAAAATGCTAAGAGTTTCAGCTGCCATTCAAGTTCTTTCTAGTCTTTCTGTCACTGCGTCTCAGTTGGTTTTCCTTCACAGTGATCAGAACTCCATACCCCACAAAAGTCTGGAAGTGAAGGCACAAGGTCACAGACCTCCTTAAACAAGAAACTCTCTGGGGGAAAAGCATATCTAAAAATACTCAACAAAAGGAAAACCACCTTTCTTGTACAAAATGTTCATACTGTTCAACTTGATGCACATTCCTTATGAACAAGTGATGTACTTAATTTCCATGTGCAGACCCATTTGCTAGGGCTTCATATGCCATCTGTCTTTTAGGGGGAAGTTTAGCATTCTTCTCATTCCTCACTCCCTCTACAGTGGCTCCTGATGCATGACAGGAGCAAGTCTGAATCATCCAGAGTCATGCACTGGATGATAAGAGCCTGAAATACTTGTCACCTTTTGGGCCACAAATGCAACTGTGGAATGTGATAGCACATCTCTGGGAGGAGGCTTCCAGCCCTGCCTGCTCTAGTAACACACTGGTGGGCTTCACAGCACAGTGTGCACCATCAGAATGCTGCAAGCATTTGTTGCACTCGTTTATATAAGGAGCTTTGTTTCACCTACAGTAACTGCAGGTTTTACTGATGTGACTTAGACAGAAAGACTTGCCTGAGCCTCTTGGCCAGGTCTTGTAGCCAGTGCTGGTCTGCAAGATGCTGGGACTGCCCTGGTACCCTGTTACAAGGGCAAGATGAGGATGTCTACATAAGATGCAGTGACAACAGCTAAACACAAAGCTGGTCTATTGTAGGTGTCTTTATATGCAGAAGCTCTACCAGCTTATCTTAGAATCAGTGCAATTAAACTGGTACAAGCCAGTTTAATTAAACCAGATGCTCTCATGTGGGCTCAATAGAAAGTAACCTGGTTAGCTTGCATCTGAATGTTTGCCAGTGCAAGCTAAGCCACTTTTGAGAGGCTTAAACCCACATATGTGCTCCTTTTCAAATCTTCACTAGCTTACCTAACCTATTACTAAAATGACAACTTCAGTCAAAATAGAACAAGTTTCACCAGGCTAATTATTTAGGCATTTTTAGGAATATTAATCTCCTTTACTAATCAGCTTGGTTTGCTGATTGTAGTGATGTGACTAGCCTTGCCCTACCTTTGATTATAAAGTGCTATTTTGGCAATCCACGTACCAAGGACTAGTAAGGCTGTATTGAATGCCTGCTCAATGCATTACAACAAGTACTAAGGAGCAAGTTCCTTAATCAAGGATCTAAGACAATAAAAACCATTGTACATGTGTGTGCTTTTAACTAATTCTGGTGCCCACTGGTCTTTGCTGTGATCTGACCTGCATGAAGGTGGTGTGAGTACAGAAGTTATTCTGCACTGCCAGCTGTAGAAAAATGGGTGCTAGGGCCCTGTTGCAGTGCCATATCTCACCTGAATTTCACAGGAAAATCCCACCAGATTACTTAATCTATAACACCAAAAATGCACTCTTGTCCCCTAAGACTTTTAGCTGTTGTGTTTTCACATGCTGCTCTACAACAATCACACTAATGAAAGAGGTCAGATCAAAACTAGCATCGTGCAACTTGAGAAATAAACCCCAGACAGCTTAGAGTTTCTCATTAGCATATTTTTAAGTCCTTCAAAGAATTTTCAGCACAATGAAGTGCTCAGATAGGCAGCCTCTTCCACTCAATTTGGTAGACACCATCAATAGCTGCCATGCAATCTACATATCTGTGGAGTTCTTGTAAAATACGAAAATGAAGAAAGGTAGCACAGTAAGAGCTGTTTTTTAGTAACATAACTTATTGTCAAAGAAGTTATCACTTCCTTAGAAGTAATGTAATTTTCTATCCAAAGCTACAAAGTCTTTCAAGATATTTTCATTTCTCATGAAAGAAAAGGGTATTTGAACACTGATTATAATTTAAATGGTAAATCAAGACCTATTCTAACTAGAAATCATCAAGTACTGTACTCATGTTCTAAAATAATCAATAAAATGTACTTGAAACAGGAGTGACTTCAGCTGCAAAAAAAAAAAAAATGCAAAAAGCATTGGGAAAGGATTTGGAGGGAACAGCATTCTGAGTACTGTTATGCAGACACAGCATTTTGTGGGTTTTTTCAAAATCTTTTTGTATTGTTTCTGTTTGTTTTCTCTCCTACTGTCAAAGAGATTGCAAAGAGGTATACAGTTGATTTGGCAAAATCTGTTGCTTCCACTACAACCAAGCCACTTCTGATCGTAGGACTATTCATCCCCATAGGCAGCAAACCACCCACACTACTTCTAAATCAAATAGAGCATTAACTACCATTATTGCAGGGATCCTTGTTGCTTTCACATGAAAATGACATCTGTTGGTAAGGATCACTGGATTTCCACAGCGCAGCAGCTAATGATGGTTGACCAGAAGTATGCTCGTTGAGATCCACCTGACTTTCACTAGTCTCTTGGTACATCAGAATTTGAGATATTTGGCCCATACATACCATCTGCATAAACGAGAGATGCTGATCTGTTGAGACTTCTTAGAGATGTGCAGATTACAGCTTCATTGAAGCAGAATGCGTTTTCACCACACAATTCCTGCAGAAGGGGGGGGAAAAAAAGAGAAGAGTATTTTCACATTTGTCCAGCAGCAGAATCATAGAATCACAGAATATCTCAAGTTGGAAGGGACTCATAAGGATGATAGAGTCCAACTCCCTGCTCCTCACTACCTGCAACTAAAGTGTGTGACTATCAGCGTGATCCTGAAGAATCCTTATACCAGGATACATGAAATTAACTGCCAGACAGAATCAGGACTCATAGCAAATAGTCACCTAATTTGCCAGAAGTTAGCCTCAAAACTTGTTAAATTGGATATGTACTCAGGAATAAACAGCTATGACCGAGTAGATTTGGCTTAGCTCACTTCAAAATACAGTAATAATTGCAAAATAACAGACAACAAAGGACTGCTACCTGGGATGCACCAAGCTCTGCTGACTCCTTTCAGGGGGTTAAGATTTTGCCTGATGCTTCAATGAGGTACTAGTTCGTGTATGCAAATCTGTGTACGCTGCAATCCAAAAATAACACTGCACCTCATGTAGACAGGTAATCACAGAGAACAGGACTGCAGCAGTCAAATTGGGAATGGCAAGCAGCTTTCAGCAATCAAGCCATGGCTCCCAGGTGCTGAAAATGCAACTCCTGCAAAGACTTCTTGCCTGCAGGTGTTTATTAAGGCCGAGCTCCCCAAAAAAGCAGGACTAGCAGTGTGAGCTACTGCAGTGTTTGGTCACCCAAAACTAACAAGGTTCAGTGTAATGCCAAAAACACTGGGCTGAGAATAGTGGCTGACTGGCAGCCACTTGGCCAGCTCTGCTGCTGCAAGGAGTATGGTAGTGGAAAATACAGGATAAATATATTCTTAAGGCCTGGAATGGGTACAAATCCATGTAGGCTACTTGAAATAAGAATACAAGCAGTCTTAAATATGAAATATTATATTATATGAATAACTAGTTTCTGACACTCAACATTTAATTATTTTGCCTCCCTGTGCAATCCTGGCCATCCCTGCATCAGGCTATCACCCTTCAATTTCTTCTCCTCAAAAGATTTCAGAAGTCACATCCATCAGAGCTGATAGGCAAGTTCAGTTTTGGTTTTATGATCCACTTCTTAAGCACTGACAAACAAGTCAAAATTGTACCACATGCTGTACTAGTAAGAAGTGTCTTTGTTGTTAGGGCTGGTAAGTATATATAGATAAGTCATGTTCAAACAGTGTTCACAAAAAACTGATGAAAAGGGGGAGGTCAGAGGCCAATCCTTCACCTCCTCATACAGGCACAGGCTTAGATGGCAAATGGTGCCTGCCCATTATGGGTGAGTTGCCAGCTGAAAAACTATGGAGGTGACGGCCTGAAGAAGGTCTCTACACATTTTTTTGTGAAAACAAGAACCTGAGGGGAAAAAACAGCTGTTTGGGTCAGTGAGCTTTCAATATATGCAAAAGCCAGGCAAAATGTTTTGATTTTCAGTGCTTTAGAGAACAGTAATGGCAAGACTGTGCCCACTGAGGAAAGAATTAGAGATGGGGTCCCACCTGGCAGGTAAGCACCCAGACAGCTGAGTTCAGAGCCAGACTGTATCCTTCACCCCCAATAAAAAAGTAACCATTTTAGCATTGAATCCTTAAGCAGCTTCAGAGCTACTTTAAATTGCACCATCTAATAATGCCTTTCTCCAAGCCGTTACACCACCAGGGATGGAGCCACACACTAATATCTTCCCCTAAGAGACTGTTGGTTTCAGGGGAGCAGGAAACCATCTGCCACCTTTGCAGAGAGGGCATGGTTTTGTTTTTTGTCCCCCAGAACCCTCAGTTCCTCTTCACAGAATCATAGAATCATTGAGGTTGGAAGGGATCTCCAAGATCATCAAGTCCGATCTTTAACTAATGACCACGTCAACTAAACTATAGCATTAAATGCCACATCCAGTCGTTTCTCGAACATTTCCAGGAATGGTGACTTGATCACCTCCCTGAGCAGCCCATTCCAATGCCTGACCACCCTTTCAGTGATGAAATTCTTCCTGATGTCCAACCTGAACCTCCCCTGGTGCAGCCTGAGGGCATTTTCTTTTGTCCTGTTGCTAGTTGCCTGGGAGAAGAGGCCAACCCCGACCTTGCTATAATCTCCTTTCAGGTAGTTGGAGACACCCAAGCTCTTTTCCAGCTGGTGATCCCCAGCATCTACCTGTGCATGGGGTTGCCCCTTCCTGGGGACAGGACTTCGCACTTTCACTGTTAAACTTCATAAGGTTCAAACAAAGCCCTTGGATATGCCTGAACTTCCCACATGCTTACTTATTTCCTTATCAACCAACAAAACCCAGATGGACTAGCCTATTCATCAAGGAAAGTGCTTTTAGGTCTGCGGACAGGAACATAGTTACAGTGGAGAATCACACACCTCATGGCTCTCTGCAAATGAAGACAGACCACCATGCTTCAAGTGCCACAGGAGTGTCTTTTGCATTTGCATAATGTTTGTTTCTCTCTTGACCATCTTCTGCCTCTCCTGGAGCCTTTCCAGGTTCTGTTGGTACTCCTGCCTCTGCAGCACCAGTTCCTGTCGGCTCTTCTCCAGCAGCTCCTCCTGGCACCTGCACTCTCTCTCCCGCTGCCTCAGCTGGCTCTTCCTCTCCTCCTGCTCCTGCTGCCACCAGTCACATTCATGCAGCCACCACTGCTGCTTTTGCTGAAACTCCTGCTTTAATTTGTCTATGTTGGCCTGCTCCACCCCTTGTTTTTCCAGATTCTGGTATTTTTCTTGTCTCGAAACGAGGTTTAGCCAAGAACCGTGGCCCTGTCCAGTCTTCTCATTCTCTTGCAGGTGTAACTTAAGGAGCTCGTGGTGGCTGTTCTGAATAGCCAGTGCTGCCTAGACATCACAACAGAATCAGACACAAATATTTAAATATCAGCATTAATCCATTTCTATGTTTTTTTACGTAGAAACACTACATAAAAATGCTTAAACCTCTCATAATATCAAATAATTTTTGGGGGGGGGTATTTCTTAAGCAAGTAGAGAAAACTCTGTGATAGTGACTTCACAAAGAGAAATTTCTAAAAGCACTCAACCATTCTGAGCATTAACATGGCTTCTGGTTTACACTTGGTATTATTATACATGGTTATGCTACAGCTGTGCATATGTGCTTCAGTTACAGCTGAGGTCCCGTTCTGTCAGAGGGTGTTAAGACACGCAGGAAAAATTACTTTTCATGGTAAAGAGGGCATTAAGACACTGGGAATGTTATAGTCATCACAGGATTCCTAACAAAGACGTGGCTTATACAGATAAAACTGTACCACTTCCAGCACAGCTCACTCCAACCCTAAGGCTCTCCTTGCTAACCTGCAACATTGCAGTCCTACTCCTATCAGTCCCACAGGCACCTGCCCACATTACCGTGTCACTAGGACCATACTGCTACATGCACCTGACCAAGGTATCAGTGCAAACATAAACCTGAACTATAGTAATGATTTCAGGTTTGATGTTTCTGTCTTACAGCAAGAGCTCTATATTCCATTCTTCACAAGGATGTTGTGACACTGTTTGCATTAAAGATTTTGACATCCTCTAATAACACCAA